GTTTGAAATTAGACAAAATTCAACGCATCATGCTTATACATTTTGTCCGCTACATGCAATCGGTTATAACAAAACTTTACTTGATATAATACATAATAAATGCAATGAAATAATTATAAAATTTTGTGATTATATGCCATTAACATTAAATATCATGTATGGCCGATCGGATCTTAATTTCACCCAGATCAATTTAATACCAACTGATAATTTTGAACCTATAATTACGGAACAATTGGCAATGGGTTTCCCGGAATTGGTGTATAATATTGGGGGCACTATTGGTATGTGGATCGGGATATCAATGCTTTCATTTACTAATATTATAATGTATTTGTATTTTATCGCTAAAACTATATATAAATACATAAAGATATATATCATTAATAGAAATATCATATATGTATAAATGAAATTATTAGTAAAATCTTGTGTCACCTCTAAACTTGTTATGTTTGTCAGATTGACAAGTTTTATCATTTATTAATAATAACGAATTAACTGTTAATAAATAATAAATTCAAATTTTTTAATCATTATATTGTTGAATACTTTAATTTACGAGATCTAAAACTAACTATAAAGAGTCCTCTCAAAAAAGTACAAAATGGTAAAATAGAAAGTTCTCAAAATACATGTAAGGGGTATATGTACTGTATATACTATATGGTGCCCTCAAAACCTTTTAGGAGGTTCTAGAAATAAATAATTATCCCAATTTTTAAAATGTAATATTTTATATTTATTTTATAGAGATATTAAAATTAATGTTACATTTCATCATGATACAAATTGTATGTTTATAAACAAAGTCAAAATTAAATAGAATTCAAATCTCTCTCTCTCTCTCTCTCTCTCTCTCTCTCTCTCTAAGTATTTAATAACTGAATTAACATAACTGTAAACGTAATGAGAAACGCGAGAAACGAGAAGAAAAACTTGATATCAATGACAAACACATTGAGTGCCATATATTTGCTTCGATGGTAACCGACCGTAAAATTCTGGACCAAACTATTGGTGAACAACATATCTCTCGCAGTCATCGATGAGTAGCGGCGGCCAAACGTGGACAGGAGGTCAGTGACAGTCGGCCGCCGAGTGTGGTAGTGGTTGATGGCCAAAATGTACGTGATATTAACCATTGCCACGCATGCGTACTCGAGTACACCGCGGGATTTTATACCAAGTTGATATTTATTGACCATTAGATGCGCTAAACGCAAACAACTCGTGAAGAATAGCTCACAGAACCAGAGGAATGGAAACACACCGAAGGATCGGTTGATCTGATCCTTTAATCGGTGGACAATCAGCACGTTTTGGTCGAACTCCAGATAATTACCATCAGTGGTGAGTCGGGCGAAGACCCGGCGCTCCAGTAGATGCACGCAATGGCATACATAGACCAATAGGCCCGGTATGGCTGCCAACCAACCAAACGCGTGGACTGACCACAATATTTCACTAGTGATGGTCAATAGGTTTTGCTTGTTTTCATAGTACTGGACGTAAAACACTAATGATATAAATTGGATTGCAATTAGCGTTAACCAGATTCCTGTCAGTAGTGTCGCCAACTGTCGCATCCGTTTCCGCTCGCTATCGTTGAGGCAACGGTATATTTTAGCGATGATTGTCTTCAGTGACTTCTGTTTGCATTCAAAATACATGTATGCGATGAAAATGATGGTCAGTTTGATGGTCGAAGAGATCCGGAACAGACTCGCAGACAATCCGTTTAATGAGAGAAACTCTTGGATTGAGTAGAAGAATGTGTAGAAAATTGTGGTAAAAACCAAACATTTGAATATATATTGGATTAGGATTTTGTCTATTCTTCGACTTTTGTTGAACAGAAAGACATCGAAACCCATCACCAGAAGAATTACCGAAAATGGATACAAAATTGTCTTAACTTTTGGTTCAGACATTGTTTATGACATAAATGTTAATTATATTTTATTGCTATTGCCTTACATTTTATACTACTATTAATTGTCTCAAAAAGTATTTACAAAAGAAATAATTAATTGCAAAATATTAAACAAATATTTTATTTGTATTTCCGTTGTTTATAAAACTATTGGTTAATTAAAATTGCAAAAATAAGTAATAAATTTTATTTTAATAATTATAATGTAATTATTTTACACCGTATTTGCAATAATATTTTATGTAATGTAAAACAATTAATGGGAAAACAATTATTATTTATTTGTTATTTTGTTTTATTGTAGTGGTTATTATATTTACAATATGTATAATAATCGTATACAGATTAATTATTTTATTTTTATATTATTTAAAATGCTAATCAAACAAAGAATGACCACAATAAAATGATAGGAAAAACAACATAATTAATTATCATCTCAATAACTGTACAAACATTACGGTAAATGTAATAACAGAACCCAAAAACGTGAATAAAAACTTTAAATTTAAGTCAAAAGTATTGAAAGCCGTGTATTGGAGTCGAGTATATCTATAGAAAGTTTCCGTTAAGATATACCTCTTGAGTAGCCATCGAGAGTCCGGCGACCGACCGGTTGTCTCAAAACAGGCCAACAATTGCCTTACAGTCGGTCTATGGGTCTGGAAATAGTTGATCGCCAATAGAGAGCCAATGTTGACGAGTAAACTACAAATGAATTCAGTCATGCGGTTTATAATAACCACATAATATAATCTATCAAAATGTTTTGCTAGTGCAATGAATGTCAATTTTAAGCATGTGCTGGCAAACAAGTCACAAAACCATAAAAACGGCAAAACACCTAGATGATCGTTGATCGCTTGCTTGATCTGTTCAATAATTAATAGTTTTTGTATTAAATGATCATAATTTATTTCATTAATAGTTGTGCTGACAAGTAGTCTCTTTTCCAGTAAATATACCGCATAAGTAATAAATGTCATCAATAGAGTAGTGGTTATCATTAAACCGTATAATTCAATAGTTCGTAATGTAACCAAGATCATAAATCGCAATGTTGATGGGTAATAACTAAAAAATGTAGCAATTGTTATGAGTGGTATAGCCATGAGAATTAGCCACATTAGCGTAATGTATTTTGACCATGCTCTCAGACGAATTTTATCATCATGGCACATCTCATTAACTATTGCCGTAATTATTTGAGATATTTTTACGGACTTTATTTCAAAATATATGGCGCCTAATGTTGTGATGACTAATTTGATGAGGATATATACTCTTGCTAGATTGCGGTTAAATATATTATCACGATTCATTAAATCAAATATAGACCAATAGCCAAATATTATTGTAGAAATAAGCAATAATTTCATTACATATTTAAAGCACCGTTTAGTGAATTTATTTTTGTGACACATTAAATGTAAATCATAACTTAAAATATAAATTATATATGAAAATGGATATAATACTGATCTGTCATTTAAATCATCCATGTTGAAATTGTTTTATAATTTTTTATTTAATAAATACAATAAGAGTATTTATTTTATAATAATAGATTTCAATAATTAATATTTATTATATAGTGTGTTAATGCACCAGTAAGCTAAAATATAATTTATTTATTAAGGAACTAGAATAATTTATTTCTATTTGCACCTTAAATCAATATATTTATCATTATCAATAGATGTTTACATGTAAAATATGTTTAAACCGTGCTAAATTGTCCATAAAATTTATATTATAGTAAGTAAAGTTTTACATCTCGTTGGCTATTTATAAAATATCTAATTAATTTATAAGTCTATTATTCTATCAATAATTATCATTTATTTAATACACAACTACTATATCTTTAGAAATTAATTTACAGGCAAATAAATACCAATTATTTATCATGTAAATAAATATTTTAATCAATATTACTTATTATAAATTAAACAATTATTTTATAAGAACACATAAACCCATAATTGAATTCACAAATATACCAATAAAGAAAATGATACAAAAACAACCCTTAAACTGCACTTTTTAACCTAGATCACATTTTATAAATATTGAGATTTTTAAACAATTACAAAAAATAATTAAACATTTTATTAATTTCTCACAATCAAAATATATCAAATGAACAGTAATTATAAAAACATAACCACTAATTGTTTGGACAATTAATGTGGATTAGGCAGGAGTAGGTGCGCGGGGTTGACAACCCTTCTACTCAGTAATGTGCGGCGTTTGCGGTGAATATCGTAATATCGTTGCCCCTTATCCTCAATGAAAGCCTCGCTGAACCGGCGGTAATGTTTGAAATACAGGTCCGCCAACCGGTCATCGGTGGCCGCTTTGGTCATAAACCGATCCCACGATCGGGTAGACAACGATTTCATTTTGTAACTCTTTTTGGCCGAATAGCCAAATAGCCATTTCGGTGGACGTCCATCACCGGCCAGATTGCTCTCGGTCACATTCGTGTAGTACATGGTAAAGTCTATGGGCACACCCTAATACACAAAATAAAACAATTTGTTTATTGAATAAAGTCAGCTAGATCAGTAATAATTAGCAAATCATGATCATACAGTGCTATCAAGTGTGAATATTCTGTAGCCCGGATTGAGAGACGGAAATGTGGTCAAACTGGAGCCGATATAGCCGTGCGATACCGGATATACACTGTTGTCCGAACTGTTTTTGCTATAATAGACGGCTATCTCGTCCTTATGGGAGTGACCAAAATACGCGCCTACAATCACCTGCGCATACCTTTCCACTATACGCAGGTAGTTATTAGTCCACGACATGTAACACTCCTCGATCGGTACGTGACCTACAGGTGGCCAACAAATAATATTTACATAACATAATACTATTTGTAATATAATAGAAGTTTAATAACAAATATACCGATGATAATAGCATATAAGCCCCGTCTCTCGGCGCTGTCCAACTGGTCAATCAGCCACTGGAGTTGACCATCAGGATCGATGGGGTCATAGGCTATCCAAACATTACCAAGGTGGCATATATTGTTGTTGAGCACGATGGCCACCAAACCCTTGCCCATACGGGCCGTGTAGTAACCGCCCAATTTAAACGTGCGCTTAGCCTCCGGTGCGCTCAGCCATTGGTGCCAATAGTTGTCCGCCAGTGTGTCGTACAGCCAACTCATGGACACATCACCATTGGAGTCGAGGGCCGCCTTATTGGGCACATACCTGTGCAACAAAAAACATCATGTTTGCTGTTTACACACCAACTCATACAAGATATATGGGATACTGACATATTGTTGGGATGGGTGTCGTGATTGCCGAGTGTGGGAAACACCGGTTTGCCTCTAAAGGCCCGCTTCACTATTCGAGTCACTTCAAGGATATGCCGCAGATTACTCTCACGTGTGGTGTTCCAGACGTCGTGCGGTGCGTTATCGCCCGTCCATATGATAAAGTCTAGGTCCCGGTGCCGGTCGGCCATGTGTTTAATAGCCGCGGCCACGAACTCGAGTCGGGCGTCGCACGAGAACCTGGTCTCAGCCCAATAGCCCGCCGAGTGATTGCCCGCAGATGACCGGCTGGTGAGGGGCGGCGATGAGGGCCGACAACACAGGGGCTCCCGGCAGTGGGACGCAGAGCCCGGAGCGTAGCACAGGTCCAAATGCACGTCGGTTAGGTGTAACATTTTAAGCTGGCGCTTTTTATTGCGTGGGTATCGGGGTTTGAATCGCCGCCGTTTAGGCAACGGTAACTCCCAGTGCACCTGTAGTTAGACAATAATAACGTTAAGTGATTTAATAGTGAATAAATAAACAAGGTTGCATACATATCGGGTTAGAGGTAGACCCAGGTGCGTCATACAGTCCGGATGCAATAGTGCTGCGCAAACCTCGGGCACCGTTAGATTGGTATTTTGGAGCACATACACCATAGGGTCGGCGATCCGGTCTAAAATGCCAGAGCAAACGCGAGACGTGAACATGGACTCAATGATAGGGCAAACCACATGTGCCAACAGTTTCAATATACTGGGAAACGGGACAAACAGTTTCATATATGTCAGCCCCTTATTGCACGACTGGCACGAGTGGTTGTTGTGTTTGCCGGAGTTCAGGTCGGCGAACACGTTCAGCATTAACTATTCACCCGGGGTAAAAAGGCACATTAAACAGAAATATTGATAACAAGCTATTTATATCAGGTGGTGATAAAGTGGTAGCCCCCACACAAGGAGATAGTCCACCCTTGACACCTGTATCACATATATATATACCTTTCCCAGGTCACCCTGGTCATCGGAGGTGTCAAACTCCTCGAGATGTTGGCGCCCGTCATCCAGCAGTTCCACCCATTGCTGGTCCACATCTTTGCAATACAAGTGAGATGTGAACAAAATTAATAAAATACATCCCAAACGAAATAAGGCATACATTTCGTTGTATTGAGTATTGTATGTAAAATATAATTACAGTATAGTCATAATGCAAATACTGTTTTCATAAATGCCCATATGTTTTATGATTTACTTTAATAATAGTAAAGTAAAGTAAAATTTAATTAAACATTTTTTGTTATAAAAACTAATTAATATAATTTTAAATTGTATTTCTACTTCTAATAAAATCACATTTATTTTAAATTCTACCGGTACAAATATTTATAATTAAATGTACATTATTGGTACAATAGATTTTATAATGAAATAGTTTATATTGTTGTAAACTTAACATTAAAATACAAAATTAAGTTTATCATTGTAAAGTTTATATAAAGTTTTATATAAAACGTGAATTTCACTGTTTGCTAATTAATGTTTTGAATTAATGCCAGAAAATTTATAAATCCCACTGAATATTATTGAACAGCAATAAAAATATGCGCAAAACATCATAATTTAATATTCAAAACATTTATTTCATTGAAAAATTAATTGTTTGGAAATAATATAATTTTATAAATAAATGTATAAAGGGCTGTGTCATTAAATGATGATGCTATATTTACAATATTTGTTTGCGCTAACAACATTAACATTATAATTCGCACATGATAAATAAGCGAACGAACTAGATCAATCTAAATAGACGGAACATGTGGCTACACTAACAAGGTAATTGCCATTACTAACCCACCCAACCCTATCCCCCACAACCACCCTTTATAATGATATACGAGTGCAATGTTTTCATATAAACTGATGTATAAACAAATGATTAGATCTTATATCGCGTGTGACGTCTACCACACTATTACACTCTGTATATCGTATAACAATTAACACAATATACTCTCAATTTCAGTATAATTTATTTAAATTTAATACTCATTGTGTGACAAATTAACCAAGTGGTGAAAATACAATCACCTAACTCACACTTACAATTACCATAATGCCCGGCTATGATAGCGAAAGGTTTGTCGACTTGAGTCAATCAGATAAGGAGGAGTTGATGTGCAGTATATGTCAGGACATACTGTGCGCTCCAGTGGTGGCCAAATGCTGTCGGCAAACATTTTGCGAGGACTGTATCAACAATTGGCTCAGCTCTGAAAGTACCTGTCCCTACGATCGCCAGCCATTGGGCACCGATGGCCTGTCACCACCGCCACGCTATGTGTCAACTGTCAAAATAAACATATATGTAATTTTATCTGGGCAATTTATGTTCATATTTTATTTATATGAAAGTTACCTGGTAATTATGTTTATCCAAAAAATAGTATCTTGCTCAACATGCTGTCCAAACTGAACATGACATGCGATTTCAAGGACAACGGCTGCAAAGAGGTGGTGACACTGGAACAGTTGGCCCAACACAGGTACCGGTGCCCATACGGGTTGGGCAAATGCAAACAGTGTCTGTGCAGCGAACAAAAGTATGGCCACAATTGTTTGCAATCATTGCTGCAAACGAACCGCAAGTTTCTGGCAGAGAATCGGCTCCTGAAGCACGAGCTCCTGCTGTCGATGGCCAGCACTTCCGGTGTCAGCGGCGGTGCTGTCGATGTCGGCGATGAGATACTGGTGGCCACTAAAGAGCTCCAGAGATTAATCGATGAGAACATCGAGTTAAAAGCCGCCGGAGATATCGGTAGTAAGCGTACGCTTACCCGCGGCGCCGGCGGTATCGGTGATGAGCCGCCCGTCAACGCGGGCTGTTGTGTCATACTGTGAGTGGACAGTTGGCAACGCTCTCTCCCTCTATGATTATAACTAACACTCATTTATAAATGCTGTAATTGTTTCTCAATATTAATTTTAATGTGTTTTGTATATTTATAACAAAAATTTATTTTTCTTAGGGGGAATGATTTGGGAAGCGAATGGCCAACCCTATTGATATTGGTATGAAAATGTGCAGAATTGTCACCAGATGTTTAATCTTTACTCAAAATCGGCAAATGGCCAGAGACGTTTGAGTACTGGCCAATTTTCAAATCACGCGTCTATGGCTTATAGCATTGAAAAAAGGTGATTCACATAATGAATGGTCGATCACATGAATGTAATGCTATAAGCCATAGACGCGTGATTTGAAAATTGGCCAGTACTCGAACGTCTCTGGCCATTTGCCGATTTTGAGTAAAGATTAAACATCTGGTGACAATTCTGCACATTTTCATACCAATATCAATAGGGTTGGCCATTCGCTTCCCAAATCATTCCCCCCTTAGCCTTTTATATAAATAGTAAATTTTATATAATCTAGATCAAATTTTCTAATCATATTTACATAGTTAAATAAATTGTGTGATAATTTATGCACACTTTCGTTATGAAATAATTAATTATAATTAAATGTTATCTAGATAATTAGTCAAAAAAAAGTATATACATATCTGTTATATTAAACGTTAAGCCATATTAAAGGGTTTTTCATAACGAGGTGACAATTGTCTGGCGTCCCCACCGGTGCGCCTCAAATACAGCACCACTGATGTCAACAGTAGTGCCACAAAGCATAGGATGACCAGTAGTGCGAAACAAGTGCCCGGAAACGAGTCCTTTGTCTCGCGGAAAATGAACGGACTCAGGGAGGAGGCGATCGGCGGTACAGTGACCTCCATCGCTGTCAACGTGGCGTACAGTTTGCCCACCTCTGCGACGGGCACTAGAGTGGACAGATGCGCTCTGAGGCCCACGTTTGCCATCCAATCGACACTCCCGGCGCACACCGATAGGTAATAGCCGACGGGATTGACAATTGTGGCCAGTATTACGAGTTTGGCGATCAGCGCCGCGAATCCAGTGATGGCCAGCGATAGGCCATCGAAATTATATTTCTGTATAGTTATAAATAGTTATAACTTTTAATTATATATTTTAATTAATTTTACAACAAATAAACATACATTAATGAGCCAAACGGTAGCCGTCATCGCCAGCAGGCATTTGGCCGCCAGCGCTACGGTCTCTATGGGGTAATCGTAAAAGTCGGTGGTATACCAGCCGTGGATCTGTTGGTAAAACTCGTCGACAAACGCCGGAACCGATACGAAGACATAGAGATAGCAGACTATACCGGCGATGGACAGCCATATCTGCGCTCTGGCGCTGTTTGGCCGCCACTTAAACCCAGTTAATAGCGTTTGCTTAACGTTATTAAAACTAATCAATTGCCGGATCACTGCCCAGACGTCCCAATGTTTGGCCAAATAGCTGGCGCTGTCCTTCTCGTCGGTGGGCATCAGATGATCATAAAATACTCGGTCTTTGCGATCATCCATAGCGACAGCGGACCAAATAAAGGCCAGGCATGCGATCAAACCGCTGATGAGATGTATGAATGCTTGGCTGTAGATCTGGTTCTCGTCCCACAGGGGCTCGTCGGTGGCCAACCGGCCGTACAGACTCTCCGACACTAAATGGCCTGCGATTTGTGGTATAAATGTGTTAATTAATGTGTAACTTAACTCTGAATCTGATCCGACAAACCCAACGCTACGCTAATCTCGAGGGACATCATCCGCACCGGGCGTACGGCCGCGGGTGTAGTGACGGCCACAGAGGCGTACGCTATGGACCAGAGGACAGACCCGGACAGTACGTACGGCACGTACGACAGCACAACCCATCGGACATCTGTTCCCCGCAAACACAATACAAGTTATATACAGTATATATGGGAACCGATTGGTGATTATAGACTGAGACATACCGGAGTCAAAGAACATGCTATTGAATACACTAAACAGAGCGTCCATACACTGGACACCGGCGCCGATCACAAACACGGCTCGCCTGCCATACGGGTAGGCGTCGGTCCAATGGCCGAGAAATAGTGACCACAATGTGATGGCCGGTATATACAGGTCGTAGCAAAAGTAACGACTGATGCTATAGTGGTTAACACATAGTTTGTCCTGAAGTAATAGGTCCAGTGGTGTGGACCGGGCGTTATAGCTGATGGTCATTAAAAACATGTACACTTCCAGTTTGAGGCTCCGGGTGAATTTGGCACCGCTTTCCATTGCTACACGTTTTAATAGTATTTTTGCTGATTTTGGTCATTAATATGATTGTATTTTGTATTATTATTGTTAATTAAAAACTTTAATGACTTTTTAATCCGAAACACAATGTTTAAAATGGTTTTAATATTTAACACACATTTATTTTAAAAATATTTACAGTGTTTTTCACTCTTTTTTGTCTCATTTAGATTTTAAATGTTGTATAAAATAATTTTTGCTGATTTGTTATGAGTTTATTTAATTGTTTAACAGTTTGTGTTTTAGTGTAGAGATCATTATTTAATTTTTTTGTTTAGCAAATGTAATGAAAAATAATAACTAGTGATAATAATTATAACAACAATTTATGACAATCAGTATCTCAGACACAATAAACTACAAATAAATCTATCTATTGTTACTAAACACTGTTATCTCAAAAAAGTTTTATATTTGTAACAAAATTAGTAGCTTTGTGCCTAATAAAGTTATAATTATGATAATAGTTATTCTCGTTGTTAAGGCATCGAGGTGTATTTGATTTAATAAAATACTCACTACACTTTAATTGTGTTTATCTAACATTATCATAGCAACAATTGTTTTGATTAAAAACTTAACTTAATTAATAATTTCGGTTTTATTTTAATATGTTTTACAAAAATTGCATACTTAAACATGTTTTGCATTATGTGTATGCATTTTATAACTAATTACTTTGTAAACAATACTTGCATAATAATTCAATCACTCTATACTTATAAATAATTAGTCATTATTAAGTACAAAATCTATCAAACTTGTAAAAAACATTTGAATTTATGAAAATACTTTAATAGCAATGTAATATGGCTATTCAAACTAATAATTAAAAACATGATCATAAGTAACATTCACTCTATTAATAGGACTCGGCTGTCGTCTTAGGTAAATTACAAGCAGTGCCAGACCTTTAGCCACAACACAAACACCGGCCAAAAAATAAAAGCAGGCGCCGGACATGTCGTCGATTGTGCGCCTGAATATAACCGCCGATACCGATGAGGCCACCGGCGGCACCACACCGTCCACTACTGTTAAGAGTGTGAATATTTTGCCCAACTCTTCGGTGGGCACCAGTTTGGCCAGATGTGCCCTCAGGCCCACGTCGGCCAACCATGTCGTGCAGCTAAACGCCAACGATATATAATACCCGTTGGGACTGAGCACTGATCCCAATGTAATCATACGTAACATTAGCCCACAAAAGCCGATTAACGTCAGATACATGTCTTCAAATTTAAACACCTTTAAATATATTGTAATATAAAAGTTAGTTAAAATAATAATAATAATAATCTAGTTATTTTTAAATACCCGGATAACTATGGGTGTGAATGTGAGCACAAACAGACAGTTGGCCACCAGACCGATGGACTCGTATGCGCTGAAGTCCTGGGCATCCCATCCGTATATCTTCTCGTAAAATTGAAACTCAAACGACGGAACGCCGATCAGTACGAAGAGGTAGCAAAATATGCCGCCGATAACCAGCCATACCTGTGCCCTGGCGTTCACTGGCCTCGGCTTAAACGCCGTGATCAGCACATCTCTAACATTACGCCAGTCAAACAGCAACCGTAACGCCCGGCCAGTGGTCATCGACTGTTGGCTGTGTTTATTCCTGTCCTCCCCTTCAGAACTGTCCTCATCGGTGGTGACATCCCGTCCATCGACTGTACTTTTATGACCAAAATGTCTGTAAAAACATTGCCTGTCTTTGTCCTGATTGATGGCAAACAGTGTCCAAATGAAAGCCAAGAACGCACTGCAGGCGCTGATCATGAATATGACCGCCTGATTGTGGATCTGATCCGTCGACCAGAGGGGCGGACTCTCGTTGATTAGCCGTCCGTACAGTAGGTTTGCCACCAAATGTCCTACAGTTTTAATATAATTATACGTGTGATTAGCATTTGATAGCATTTAGTCAGTGATCAAAATACAGACCCAGAGCTACAGTAGTCTCCAGTATTGTCATACGGATAGCTGTCAGATGGGGTGGAGTAGTGGCCGCCACGTATGAATAGGCTGTGGCCCCAGTCATCGCACCCGACAATATGTATGGCACAAACGATAACAGTACCCAACGAACATCTAGATTAAAATCAGTTAATTACTGTTAGTAATTAATATAATTAATTAATTAAAACTAGCATAAATACTGACCTGAATTAAAATAGTAGGCATTTAGTAGATTCATGAGTGCCTCCAAACACTGGGTGGCGGAGCCGATAATAAATATAGCTTTTCTACCATGGTTGTATCGGTCAATCCAGGCGCCCAGAAACAGAGCCCATATAATACCAGGCACATTTTGTATAATACTTTGGTACGAGTTGTACTGAACCGCGTCGGCAAGGGTTTGGCTTTTATAGTGATAATTCGGGTGACTTGTATTAATACTTGGTAGATTACGGCAAAAGTCACGAGTTTGGTTATACTCGTTAACACAGAGCTTGTCTTGGATTAATAGATCCAATGGTGTACTCCTGATGTTTGAGCTGATGATCATAAAAAACATACAGATTTCCACCCGTAATAGTGATGCAAATTGAAGCAATTTTTGCATATTCTTGGCCATAATTTTTACAAATGTAATATAAATTTATGAATTTATAGTTATTGTTTTTAAAAACATAACTTAAAACTTTATAACTAATGTTTGCCTAACAGTTAGGCCCTAACTTAACAAACACACATAATGTTCATATATTATGTAATATTAATAAAAGTGTTATTATAAAAAATTGTATAAACAATTGAATTAAATTACTTTTAAAGTATTCACTTAAATATTAGACTAAACATCAACAATTATCTGTTATTAAACTTTTATATATTATATTTTTAACTATAAATAGTATTGATATTACTTTTAAAACAAATGCTTATACTTGTACAATATATTTGTAAAGTATTATATTGCAATTATAGTAAAACAAAAGTTTAGTGTAACATAACATAATATTTACAATAATTTTTTTCTAGTTTTCTAGATATTAATATCACATTTCATACAATTGGAGTATCAAATACTTGTACTTTTAACAATAATATTTTATAAAACTATTTTTAAATTATTAAAATATATTGGTACGGTTTTTAATGACTTTTAAATATAGATAAATTATCTAAGATAATGTTTTATCATTAAATGTATATTTAATTTTTTTATCACAATTGTTGATATATTACTATAGATTTAAATATACAGTACTTAATAATGTGAAATAATATATTAATTAAGTTACAATTAAAGCATTATTTAACAATAAAACAATTAAATTGAGTTATAATTTTTATAACGTTTAACAACCTAGTTACTAAAATAAATGTCATGTTAATCAATTATTAAAATGAGTTTGAATAGCAATTACTGTGTATAATAAATTTATAAATATTGTTTGACCATGAAATCAATGGAGTTATATATTGCACAATATTATGTAACATATTATATTTAATAATTTTTTATATAATAACAAATATTAAACCATGTAATATTATTACAATATAATTATCATTGTCAGTGTCATCAAGTCAAATAATTAAGTGTGTATAATATTATTTATGTTTATAATTTTTAATAAACAAATTGTTTTTAAAATCAGGCAACAAATGTAAAGGTATGTATGAGCAGGCTCAGTTTACTTAAATATTTAAAACAGATGGTTTAATTACGCGGTAGTATTTAAATTTGTAAAGTTATTATATTTTATAAAATACTATATTAGTATTTTAATAAATATTATACTCTGAAATAAAAATCTTGTTAAAAAATGTTTTTTAGATTAATATTTTTATTAGAATAATCTTTTAAAAAGGATGTTTATAACAATCCATTTATTTATATTTGTAAATTTTATATTATATAAATTATATTTATATTAATATAATTTTTAGTTTATTAAAGAAGTTAAATTAATTTATTTATAAAGTGTTTACTTAATGAACATCAATCATAAACATCATTAATTAAATGAAGCTAAAATATTACGTTTTTCCATCTAACAAATTAATTAATTAAATAATAATAATTTGTGCGTGGTATAAATGAATGAATCATACTACAGTATAGTATAACAGTATTAATACCTAACATCCCACTGATTAATGTGGATAATTGATTGCCAAATAGAAATTGCATTTAATAAGACATTTCATAATTATTATATGAATGACATTTGAAGCCATTGAAACACATATAAGGTATCGTTTATACCGTATTGTTTGGACAATCTATACCTGTGTTTTGTATTATCGAGACTCAATCGATAGGAGAGTTTATATTTCAATATAAAAACATACGAGAAAAATAAAAACAGTTATTTCTTGAGTTTTATATTTACAATACTTTATATATTAAAACTTTTTGTACGTTTTCAGCAAAAATTATTAGTAAAATAAAAACAAAAAATAAAATAAAATATATTTTCATCGCAGAGTTAGCATTGCTTAGGAATCTTTAGCCTATTGTTGACAACAAAAACTTCATTACATTTGGCATAACTTTTGCGCAAAAAGCATAACATTTTTAATACTCAACACAACGATATAAAGTGCGGATTCATTTGCTTTGTGTGTATTTTTGTATATTTAATAACAATTTGTATTCAATTAATATGTTTCATACCATTTGCTGTATATTTATAATTAATATAATTATATCAAATGTGGTGTCGTTTGAGACTGTAGTCAATAGGGATGTTAATAAGCGTAGACTTCCCGACAATTTCCGGCAACACATGTCAACCACAACCACCGCCCAACCCGACGAGGTCTACATCGAGCCCCTACAGGATGTTAAGGGTGTGTATGACTTAATTTATAGTTATTATCTAGATTAATATTGTGAAATGTTAACATTTAATTTATTAATTATTTAAATAACTTCAACCAAACTCTCTATTACAGTGCCTTACGGTTGTGTAAGGGTACGCAAAATACAACATGATTATTACGCTTATATATGCCCATAACAATTTAAATATACAAACAAAACAATCAAATTAATTTAAAAACATTTAAATTAATTTTATATACATGTATATATTTGTATAAATGTACACATAAATAAATATCAGGTTATAACAAAAAACCCAAATTTCAATTAATATAAATATTTAATTTGCATTTTTAAAAATTATAATTCAAACAGAGTTTTGCTTTCAAATGCTGGAGAAGTTCCGGACCGGAGGGGAAGGCGATTACGTGTGGCGTCCATACAATTCACGCTTTTATGGAGAGTTGAGATGGAAAAAGAAACTCCCAAAAAATGTCTAACCATTTTACCAACATCTTATTTAATACATATAATATCTATAATTACTATAATATCTAATATGATTTTTAATCAAGAATACTATTCTTAGAGGTAGAAACTAATGTTAAAACTCATTTATGACATTAAACTTAAGCATTAAAAAATGTATTTCAACTTATTAACAACATTCATTTTTTGTGGTT